CCTGTGTTTCCAGCTACTTGGAAGACTGAGGTAGAAAGATTCCCTGAGCCCAGCAGGTCGAGGCTGTGGTAGCCATGATTGTGACACTGTACTCCAGCCTGGGCAACAGAGTGAGACTCCCAATAAAAAAAAGAATTGCAAGTACTTTTTAAAAAAATACATTGATCCTGTCTTTTATATTTACCTGTGTAGTTACCAGTGCTTTTTATTTCTTCATGTGGATCTGAGTTACTGTCTTGTAACTTCAATCTGATGTTCCTTCAGTATGACTCTTTTACTTCTTACAGAGTAGGTCACTGAGTGCTCAGTTTTAGTATTCTGGGATGAATTTCCCAGTTTATTTGGGAATTTCTTAGTTTCCCCTTTAATTTTATAGAAGTGTTTTGCTGGATATAGAATTTTTTGCTGACAGTCATTTTCTTTCAGCCCTTCAAATATGTCATTCCACCATTCCTGGCCTCTGTGGTTTCTGATGAATAATCAACTGTTGGTGTTTGTTTGTTTTTTTTTAAGTTTCCTTGTAATGTTTGTTTCTGTTGCTGCTTTCAAGATTTTCTTTTTGTCTTTGGCTATACTTTGATAATGATATGTGTAGGTGTGGATTTCTTTGAGTTTATTGATGTGGGGTATATTGAACTTCTTGGCTATGTAGATTACTTTTTAAAAAGCAAATTTGGGAAGTTTGGTGCCATTATTTCCTCAAATTTTCTTTCTGCACTTTCCTGTTTTCCCTTTCTAATCTTTCATTATGTGTGAATGTTGGTATACTTGATGGTACTCCACAGGTCTCTCTGAGAATGTGTTTATTTTTCTTCATTTTATCTTCCTTTTATTATCAAACTGAATAATCTCAATTGACCTGTCTTTATAGCCCTTGATAATTTCCTTTGACTTCTCAAATATGCTGTTAATCCTCTCTAATGAATTTTTCACTTCAGTTATTGTACTTTTCAACTCTGGAATTTCTATTCGGTTACATATAATTTCAGTTACTTGATAGCCTCTATTTGGGGAGACAGTATCTTCATACTTTTCTTTTTTTTTTCTTTTTTTTTTTTTTGAGTTGGAGTCTCATTCTGTCACCCAGACTAGAGTGCAGCCTCGACCTGTTGGGCTCTGGCGAACCTTCCACCTTAGCCTTCCAAGTAGCTGGAACTACAGGCATGTGCTACCATGCCCAGCTAATTTTTGATTTATTGTAGAGATGAGGTCTCACCAAGTTTCCCAGGTGGGTCTCGAACCCACGGGCTCAGGCAATCCACTCACTTCAGCCTCCCAAGGTGCGGGATTACAGGCCGAGCCACCGAGCCCGGCTTCTTTAGCTCTTTAGTTCTTTACACACGATTTTCTTTAGTTATTTGGATATGATAGTTGGAGGGCGGTACATACATTTTTATTTGCATGTAGTACAACATACAAAAACAATATGAACAAAAACTACCACCCTCCAGTTGTCATTTCTTTTCTTCTCCTCCCATCACAATCAAACTTTATGACAACTTTCTCCCCAACCCTAGCATAGTTCTTTCAGTGTAGATTCTCATCATTTATTTTATTTTGATTTCATGTTAGTCATTTATTTCCAAATATTTATTTTGCATTTTCTTTTAGATACTATTCTAAACCTGGGGTACAATAGTGAATAAGACTGAATCCCTGTCTTCATAGGACTTACTTCTCAGAAGGAGAGACCCACAAGAAACATACAGCACCCTCTCACAGAGGGATAAATCTAATTATGACATAAAGCAGATATATAATGACTGATAGAGCAGGTTTTAGACTGGGTGTTCAGGGTTGACCTTTTTGCAGAGGTAATATTTTAACAGACACTTTAGAGCCATTGAGTTAGCTCAGGGAAGGTCATGAAGAAGGTCTTTGATACAGAGGGAATATCAAGTAGAAATGCTGCAATGTGGATGCAAGCATGGTATAACCAAAGCCTAATGAGAAGGCTAAGGTGAGTAGATAATAATGAGTAGAGGATCTTGGCCAGAGAAGTAGGCAGAAGATAGACTGTGTAGGCCTTGTAGGGCATGGTAAGAAGTTTGGGTTTCAGTCTGAATGTATTAGGAAGCTATTGGAAAGTTTCAGGTAGGGAATGATGTGATTATATCTTCTCATTAAGTCAATACTAAATTCACTCAGACACAACCAGAGGGTCTCAGAATATATGCATGTGTTGGGTTACTACCTTGGGAATGAAGTGTTTCCCAAAAACTTATGTTGCAGAGAAAGAAGAGGCTTTTCATACTTTAAACTAGCAGAGGCTAAGAGAGCTTCCATTGAAAGTTTTGCTTGTGGCTCCAGATTTCAGTTTTGCTAAAATTAATAATAATTATGATGACTTTAAGGGAAATGTTGGGACTAAAGACAGTGTTTTTGATTTTTAATCATTTACTGCATACTTGTATTCATCCTTTGTACAGGGGTCCTACTTTATATTTTAGACCCCATATTTGGATTAGCACAGACTTTATCCCATGTGTTCTTGTGGTTTACTTACATGAAGATGAGACCCTAGTTTATCAACAGAAGCATGTCATTGTTTGGCAATAGACGTATACTTTTGCTAATCTGTTAACACTCTTCCTCTTGGTTCCCATGGTGGGTAGTGACATGCAGTGAGTGACTGATCAGGGGTGGACTGAGGCCAAGGAACATAGGGATGTGACAGGTTAGAGAGCAAACCAATGCCCTTGGAATTGTAAGCAAAATTCACACAAACCAAGCCACAGGTGAATGAGCATCTAAGTACCCTGAATACCAACATCTCAGTGAAGACTAAACTCTGTCGGTGTGGGTCATCAGAATATCACATTGTAGCGGGACACTTTGAACCGCAAAACACGTGATTCTCAAGCTATGTGATGCCATGGGGAAACCTTTTAGATCTTTACAGTTCTGGAATTTCAAAGGCTCGAGTCTTCTCTGAACTCTGCCATCAAATGACTTCTAGCTGTGACTAGAACACTAATATCTCTGGGACTCAGTTTCCCCCATCTGTCAAATAAGGTCACTGGACTGATCTTTAATGTCCCTGTCTGTACTAATGTTTGATGATTTGATAGGTCTAAGAATTGCCTTTTCTGGATAAACCTGTAGAATAGAAATGACAATAAAACTTAAGTAAAAATTAAACCAAACCCCCTGCCATTTTTAGTCTGATGAGAATTGCTGAATTACAGAAAGAGATGCATCAAGCTGAACAGGAACTCTTCCTTTTGAGTGGAGCCATCATGTCACTTTTTCACCTCTGACATTTGTCTCTAATGGGCATGAGAAGGACAGGATGAATCTATGGTGACAGAACTAGCTATGTAAAGATTCAGTATATGGATGACTGCAGAAATTGGCTCTAACTGAGATTAAAGGGATATTTTAAAAACCAGTGAACTCCCTCAAAGTGGGATTCCTTTTTTACTTGTTCTACTGATAGTGGTGATAAGGTAATCTTTGATTTAGTTTGTTGAAACCATTTGTCCATTCAGCTAATTGAGCCCTGATTTATATCCTATGTAACAATAAATCTCCCCTTGGGACTTCTTACTGGCGCATGTGATGGGTTTGTACCTCCTGTTTTGAGCCACTCAGGCCATTCACTGCATCAGGGATTGGTCCTGCAAGCTGCATTCGTTGGCCCTCCAAACACCAACATGTAAAGCTTCATCTTCTTGAGATTGTTCATCCTTGCAACTGCCAATTCATCTGAAAGATCAATGGGAACATAAAATGTTTTTCTGCCGTGTTTTCACTTTTATTGCATCTATAATAAAAATGCTATTTTAGTAAGTAAGGATGGTTCTGCTCTTTGCAGAAGCGGCTTTTTTTCATTATCTTCCCAGCAGCACCCAGAGCCAACGCATACGTCATACCGTGGTTTTCTAGCTTCTTGTCACAATCTGGAACGTACAAGCAAAAGTTACCTAAAAGAATGATCAGTTTCCTCTGTCTGTTTTAAATAGTATACATACAAAGCCTGTAGCTTTATGCACACACACACAATTTTTTGCAGGGAAAAATAATTTTTAGGGAAATATATATAAAAATATATGACATATAAAAATATTCACATTTGCAAAATAGACTGACATGCCCACCATTAGTGCCTGATGAGACATGCTTTTAAATCATCCAGTAGTAAAGTGGAAAATATAAATTTTTAGACTCTGATAGGAAAAAATATGTCTCAAATATTTCTTTGTAGAATAGAAAGACTGTATATCTCGTTTGGCTCTTTTTTTGAGTCAAAATCTCACTGTCACCCAGGTTGGAGTGCAGTGACACAATCATGGCTACCGTAGCCCCAACCTACCAGTCTCAGACAATCCTTTTGCCTCAGCCTTCCAAGTATCTGGGACTACAGTCACATGCCACTATGCCCAGATAATTTTTAATTTGTTATAGAAATGAGGTCTTCCCAAATTGCCCAGGCTGTCTCGAACTCCTGGGCTCAGGCAGTCCTCTCGCCTCAGCCTCCCAAAGTGCTGGGATTACAGAAGTGAGCCACCGCACCCAGTCTCATTTGACTCTTAAAGAAAGGTTAGTACATATTGTCTAAACAGTCCTCAGACAGTCGTATCATTAATTAGTGAAGTAGTCATTCTTTGCTTGTATTCCAGCTTTTGTTTGGTAAATATGAACATTCTAAGATAGTACCCTGGTTTTCATTTAAGAAAACTGGTACCGAAGGCAGCCAGCTACATGTGATTGTCATACTGATCTTCATGATTCTGTGTAGGCATTTAAGTTATATGAAGTGCAGATGCTTAGCCTGCCCTTGGACTAGTTTCAGTTTCTTCATGTATGTGACTCTTGGGAATAAATTGGAATTATCTAGTTACACTTTATCTGGAAGTATGCTTATGTTGTAAATAAAATTGGACTAAAACCCAATTTTAGCCTACACATCCAGCGCATGAGGGGAAAAGAGGAAATTGAAGACACAGAGGAGGAGTCAGGGCTTCTTGTGTGGTAACACACCATATTTGTCTCTACAGGGGGATCGTTGGATGTATATAGGAAGATTCCAGAACATGTCCTTGGAAGAATTGCAGTAGCAGTAAGTATACAGCTTCAGTGTTAGGAAATGAGGATGATTTAATTCTTCTAATCAAACCTGTTCTTATATCCTCTGGATTTTTTTTTTTTCTTTTTCTCCAATCCCAGCTGGCTGCCAGGACCTTCTTGACTTTCTTCTGCTTTTATCACTTTTGTTTGTTCTTTTTATAGACCAACCCTTACCTACTAGAGCAACATGGGCACATGACATCATCAGGCTTATGAGTACTCCATCCTGCTCTAGCTTCTATGTGTTTTCAGGGACCTTAGTGTTCTTGTTGACTAGTACAATTTCCAGGTTCTTCAAAAAGAAAACTTTTTTTTGGACATTTTGTAGTTATGGGCATAGGATTAGAAAATACTTTAAAAAGTCCAAATTATCAAAGCAATCTATTTTTAAAATACTCATTTGTATTCCTAAAGATTTTAGATGCGTCTAAAGTGTATTTATCAACTATATCTAGGAATTTATTCCCTTTATGATTCAAAGCAGTTTTCTGGGCAACCCCTTTGGGTCCCCTCCCACTGTGGGAGCTTTTCTGTCCTCTCAATAAATCCTGCTTTCAAAAAAAAAACAAAACCAGTTTTCCTATATTCCTTTATTTCCTGTAGTTATTAATAAACTGATGACATACAACAACTAAACTAGCACTACTGTAATGTTCTCATAAGTTCCAAATTTCAAATTTGGAATAATGTAGGCTAAACAGTGTCTGAGACAAGTCATGGGGTGGTGTAATAGTAAACAATTGCTAAACTAAAGGCACTCTGATAACTTCCGTGGTTTAATGCAGAACAAAGTGTTTGGACAATGTACCATTTAATTAAATGGCTGATTTTCACATTCATTATACATCAAACTGACAACTCAAATTCTTTAATCCAGCATGGACACTTACTTAGTCTTAGTTCATTGTAATTCACAGCTTTCCTTTTTTCTTCCTAATTATTGGTGAGAACTGCCCAGGGTGATGAGAACTTTCCTTTCTGATGCTGTGCTGCCAAGTAGCTTCTAATCTGCATGTGTAGGAAGCTAAGTTTAGTATGAAATTTGAGGAAAAAAAATCACTATTTTAGATGAAAATAAAAATGTTTCATTTCCTCTTCTGATCTCAAGAGGGAATGAATGCTTTGTGGCTTTTGGCAGTTCTTGGCTCTAAAGTTTAATAACATGTATAATAAAGGGCCAAAAAAATGCAGGATACCAACTGAAAAAGAAAAAAGTATGCAAGTTTTATATACTCAATTATCTATTGAACTTGGCAAAAATAGGAGTCTGCCATCTTCCGCAGAAAAGCATGTTCTTCCTGGACTTCATAAATCTTACCTCCCTGTTGTGCAGGGCATGTACACAAGGCCACCAGTCTTTCAATCCTCCTGGAGTGGGGGACTGTCGGAGGGAGTGGAGTCAGCAGAAAAAGTAATTCAACTTCAAGCACAGGCTTGCCAATTGGGTAGCTGAAAATATGACACAAATTATTTTAGTGAGAGACATTACAGTAAGTGCTGGTCCAAAGCATTATTTACATTTGTCCTTACATTGTTTTAAATTAGGGTATTTTTTTCCCTAAAATGTGTCCAATTTCTCCCGCTTTTATGCCTCATTAGGTCATAGTAATGAAACTCCTCATGGCTGAAGTAGAAGAAAGGCTTTTGATAATTTTGTTCTTCACCTGCCACTTTTGATAGATTCCTCTGGAGCCTATGTTTGTAGATGCCTCTAAAGGGTATTTTTGTGTGTACTCCAGGTAGGCTATAAGCTTGGATAATCCTTTGTTGCAACTGACAAATGCAAGGCTAATGTCAACACTGGGAGAATCGTACCACTTCAAATAAGACAGGCAAGCTGATGGGCTCTGGGTCATTGTTCATTTGTAAAAAGAACATTCCCACAGTCTGTCTGGTTCCCAGTGTCCTCGGTGTACTGTCCTGAAGTATACTGAAGACAGCGTCAACATCTTTCCCTTAGTTCCCTCAGTGAGGCCACAAAAGCACATGGTGCTACTGCCAAGGCAAAAGCAATAGAATCAGAAAGAGCAATAGAATCAGAATAGGCAGATAGTGAGTACGTCCTGTGCTGCCCACTGGTGCATGCTTTTTGTGCAAATATTATTCATTTAGTCTTTACAACACCCTGCAAAGTGTGGATTATTGACCATGTTGCATGCATTTGCAAGGTGAAGGTTAGAAAGGTTAACTAACTTTCCCAGAGTTATCTATCGTACAGGGCTGCCTGATCCAGACTCTCTGCTTTCACATTGCTTTCCTAAGAGGATGAGGAAAAGGTAGAGGGAGGAGTGAAAGGGAGAACTAGGTTAGCAGGAAAAAAGGAGACGTGTAAGTGGGAGAGCAGCAGGGCAGCACAGTAGTTGCTTCTGATGCTCTTTGTATCTTAGAACCACACTTAGGCATCTCTCCCTTCCCAAACTCACTTATTTCTAAACTCAGGTTCTAATACTCTGGCATGTAAGCCAGGACCATAGACCCCAAGTTCACTCCAGTATGGACTCTGTCAGCCTGTGATGTGTTGTTCAAATTTTCTTCTGTAGAATGTACAGCAAGAGAGCATTTTATTCCCCAAATAAATTCATATACACTCTCTGATTTCAGCCTTTCCCCTTGCTCAGTGGTTTTATCTACAATCCATCTGAATCTGGTCTTCTACAAAGAGGAAGACCTCTCTGCCTTTCCCTGCCTCCTAGCACATTTTATTTTCCTCTCATCTCTGAGGCGGTGACACTGGGTATTGTATTTGGAGTGCTAATGTTGATTGAAGCTGTCCCTGAAAGGATGTGCACTTGACATGTCAAGGAGTGAGTGATTGACAGCAGATATAAGTACTTTTAGTGTCAAGGCTTTGTCAGGTCCTTGTTGTGAAGCCTAGCCTGCTGAATACCAATAATGCCCTCTAGATTTTCAGTGGACAGATTTCTAGCTGCCTTATACACTGATGCTTCTATGCTTCTAAAGGAAAATATAGTCTATTTTGACAAAGTTAGAAGAATAATATTTTCTTTTTGAATCTCTAACACAATTCATAATTAGCACATATCATAAAATCAGTATTTGTTTTACTTTCTTTTCCTACTTGACAATCAGAATATATTGAATTGCCTTTCCCCGTGTATTTTTTCTAAGTTGAGAATTTCAACCCTACTTCCTCAGAACTGAGAAAATGATTACTTCCATGCTAAGTAGGATAGCCACCTCTTACCTCAAAGAGAAATTGTTTTCATTATGGATGTTATTCTTTAGAAGCACTTAAATATTTTTGTCCTGTTTCCTTCTGTGATATGATTGTCATTATTGATATTTTGATACTTTCTTTTTTATTACCTTACTGTCTGGAATACATGTGTTTTATTGTAATGTCAGTTTTTCCAAACTCTGGAAGAAATCATTTGCTATACAAATTTATCCTATTCTCTTAGAATAGACAAACATGTAATGGAATTGATCATATCATGTTAGCAAACCTTCCAGGAGTACATTCTGCTCTGTGTGAACAATTAAAATACGTTAATCTCTGCTCAGCATTCATTGATGTGGGCTTTGTCATCTAGTTCTTTGGTATTGGGAAGTTGTTTTTTTCCCATCGCACTTATTTTACTGTTGTTCTTAGTTGTTCTTGAGCAACTAAAATCCTTGCATATTCAACCCCAACCCTCTTCTTATCATGTTCAAGTTATGTAAGCCACTCAGCTGCTTCTCATCATGAATAGTCAGCCTTGAAACTGGTAAATTCACACTTATGTGCATGGAGGGTCAGTGGTTGTCAATGAAACATGTACATCTCCTTTTACTACAGTTTATAAAGATTTTAAAAGTGTTTAATGGCAGTTGCTATAATATTTTCAGCATAGAAGGTAGCCCTTGTACTGAGGGACTTGGGAAAATCTTTTTTCCAATATCTCATGTGACTAATTATCCCTCACTCAGGCTATTAAAATGAAGACTCCAACCCTAACTCAGACATATGTGTTTTCTTGCTTGGTTCCCCTGACCCCCCTTTCAGTGCCAGTCATGACAGTTCCCATGTGTGCTCTGCCCCAGCCAGTCTGGCAGTGCGGGTCACCTCGATATGCCTTGTTCTTTCCTACCTCAATATGCTTTAAATTTTTTGGAAACTTTTTATTTTGAAATTATTTTAAACTTACAGAAAAGCTGTGGGAATATCACAAAAAATTTCCACACATTCCCCACATTTCCCAGTTGGTACTTATTTACTACATTGGGTTAAAAAATCTGCTTACTAGCCAGCTCGGTGGCTCAGCCTGTAATCCCGCGCCTTTGGGAGGCTGAGGTGAGTGGATTGCCTGAGCCCACGGGTTCGAGACCCGCCTGGGCAGCGAGACCTCATCTCTACAATAAATCAAAAAATCAGCCGGGCGTGGTAGCACATGCCTGTAATTCCGGCTACTTGGAAGGCTGAGGCGGAAGGATCGCCGGAGCCCAGCAGGTCGAGGCTGCAGTGGCCGGGAGCGGCCACTGCCCTCCTGTCTGGGCGACAGAGTGAGACCCCAACTCAAAAAAAAAAATCTGCATACTTATCTTCCTAAAATATTTGAGAGTAAGTTAAAGATATCATGGTCTTTACCCCAAAATACTTTGCATTTATTTTCTTACCTCCAAAGAACAAGGACATTCTGTATGTTTGTGTGTGTGTGTGTGTGTGTGTGTGTGTGTGTGTGTGTGTGTGTGTGTATGTGTGTTTTCCTTTTCTTTCTATTTTTTTTTGAGTTGAAGTCTCACACTGTTGCCCAGGCTGGAGTGCAATGGCATGCTCATGGCCACTGCAGCCTCAATCTGTTGGGCCCAGGCAATCCTTCCACTTCAGCCTCCCAAGTAGCTGGGACATGCCACCACGCCAGACTAATCTTTTTAATTTTTTTTTTATAGAGCTGAGGTCTTGCCATGTTGCCCAGGCTGGTCTTGAGCTCCTGGGTTTAAGCAGTCCTCCTTCCTCATTTGGTGTCTTCACAGACACGGGAGATGTCCAAGAGATGCTTATGGGTTAACAACATTTTAATGGAAGAATTATGGTTGATGTGTCAAATGTGAGAAGTTCCCTATAAAACCTTGATTGTACTGTTTTCTCTTTCCTAAATTTAGGTTGTTAAAGGCCTTACCTATTTATGGAGCTTAAAGATCTTACACAGAGGTATGTGCTGGGCTTATAAGCTTGGACTTAATTTGGGGTGGAGCTCTTTAGATACCTTGATTTTTAAAGGGAATAAATGATCTGACATTTAAGCTAGCTGATATATTTGGTAGTCAAAAAGACAACTGCTTTATAAATGTTACTTTTCTTACTTTCTACCTCATCTGCTCTCATTTAGATTATAATCTTGGTATTACATTTTTGTGAATCACATTTATCAAACATGTGAAAAGATACTTTATAGTGTTTGAAAATGGCAGGATCTCATTTGTCCTACTTAACTTTTGTTACTGCAAAACCTTCACTTTCTTTCTATCACATCCTTTCTTCTGTTAACATTTCAGATGTCAACATACACTGTTCCTTAAGAGATTGTCGGCCATTGCTTTGCTAAACTGGTGTGACCACATGACTCCTTGAGCACTGGCCATGTTTCCTAAACTTTGGCCCCCTCCCCTACCTTGGGGGAAATGGATCTCCACTCTCTTTCTAATTTACTTTCTAAATAAACTATATTTTCCTATCTAAAAGAGAGAGAGAAAGAGAGAGATTGATTGACTCACATGCCTGGAGACTGAAACTTTAAGTGAGGAATTGGTGAACACTTCAGAAGTAGTCCCCAGTCTAGTAACAGAACACAAGAGAATAATCAGATAACTGTTGAATGTTGCAGAAGGCACCTCCTTTTGTTTTTAAAATGTTCCCAAAATGTCGGAATTCATTTGGAGCAAATTAAGTAAGAAAGAGCCTACACAAGCAGCTTCAGTACTGATGTTGCTGGCAGTTCTGTTCAGTTTTATATGTCTGCTCATCTTGGCTGTGTGCACTTCAGGGGATACAGCAGTCAACATGTTAGATGTGATTAAAGGAAAAATTTTTTTTAAAAAGGTATAAGCTATGAGAGGTAGGCAACACCAGATGTCTAAAACAGAACTGTCATATCTGTCCCTAAGGGTTGTTTTCTTTTGTGGTGTTTTAATATCCTAGTGATTCCAAATTTCTTCTTAAATCCTCCTTCCTCTTTTAAAGAGGGCATCCAGATTTTAACAAGTAAAATATTCAGTTTTTGAAGGTATTTATGCTGATTAAATGGAATCAGAAACCAAAATTTTATTTAAATCAATTCACTCTTTCCAGAGTCTAGTTAGTACAAAATGCAGATGAAGAGAGAGTGAGCTGAGTCATGTTAGCATCATTGTCTCTGGGCCTAAATAAGCACATGAACTCATTTGGTGGGTAGGAGAATGGCATGCGTTCCCCACCAAGACTGAGAGAGTAGTCTTTAACATGGGTGACTTGTACACCCACCAATCCAGAAAGTAGTTATAGCTATTTTAATACGAATTCACCCAATGGTCAGTCTCATCATTTTATTGACTTTTTATGGACATCTGCTCTCCATTTGGCAAAGGAACTATAGGAACAGCTTTTAAAAGGACAGAACCATGGAAATTCAAGTGTTGCTATAAAAGTGAATCTAAGGATCATCCTGAACTCTGGGCATTTGGGATAATCATGGCTTATAATGAAATCTCTCTCTAGCCATAACTTTCTGTGAGGAATCTTAGTGGCACATGGAGCTAGAGTGGGTAGGGAAATGAGTTTTAGCTATTCTGCAGTCATCTTTATTTTTCCTTTTTAAAATTAGAACTCATGCTAATAAGTTGGTCTGCCTTTCGTATTCCTATATAATTACTTGGTTTCAGTTTTGCTCTGTGTTTGGGACAAATAGTGGCATTTTTTCATTTGAAATGGGATCTTGTTGGACATGTTTCAAACGGGTTTGTCAGGATCTAAAAGTAAAGTTTAGGGCGAGACTCCCTATACAGCCTCTTTATGGCCTCCTCCCGGAGGCTGGGTGTACTTGCCAGCTCTGGCTGCATCTGAGGCTGAGGAAGGTCTTGTGAGTCAGTGCATGCACAGCTGCAGTGGCTTGACTGATCAAGGCATCCAGGCTTCCAAAGGGAGGCCTGCACCTGTGCTCTGTGCAGCCCATGCTGGCCAGACCCATTCCTGCAGAGAGTAACCCGCCCTGTAATGCCCCCTGGGAAGCAGGGGTCTGGGAGGGGCTGTATGGGGCCACGGTCGCATCCAGCAGTCCCCTCGGGTTTCAGTGTGTACCTGTGCATCCACATCCTTCCAAGTGGAGGCAGAGCAGATGAATATCCCTTCTTTGGGAGCCGTGGGTGCTCAGCTAGAGTAATAGATGTCTCATTAAAGAGGTTCATGTGTTTAGCTTGTGTCTTGCCTATCTGTGGAAACTTTTACTGTCTGGATTTAAAAGCATGTGTTTTTATTGAAGAGTCGAGGAAACCAGGTGTCCCTGAAGACTTTGTATAGCTCTGTAATGAGAAATTTACCCTAGATTGAGTAGTTGTTAACTTAATATTTTAGAGGTTTTGTCCATATTTAATAACTTAGATTCCATAAAAATAAGATTAAAGATGCCTTTTTATTTACCAAAAAGCTATTTAATTTTCTCCTTGATTAAAAAATTGTAGCTTTTTAGATCAGTTCAATCAGGCAATTAAAGATCAGAGCTTTTAAGTTCAGCTAAGGCAATTAAATAGGTAATATACTTGTTTATGCACTTTTGCTGTATAAGCTCATCGCTGTACCTTCTTAAAAGCACATGTACTCATTTTCCTTTCTCTAAGTGAATGATGATGGGAATTCTAGCTGAATATGTGTCACCTTGTCAAATCAAAGAAAGGGATCTTTCTGCGGGGGTGGGGGAACCTGACATTGACAGCGGCAGGGAGATGCTAATGAGGGGTCTGTGCTCTTCCCCTTTTGTCTTGGTCTAAGCACCTGTGTTCTCTGATCATCATTTCTGATGCTGCCCCTAAAACCAGGCTAGAAAAAAACAAGAAATTGCTTTGTACTAATGTGCACACAAAAGATGGAGAAGTAGAGTATGCTCCCGTTACCTATGAGGAAAGAGAGCAAGCTCTTTTCACATCTGAGAGGCTTCTTTGAAACACAGTGGTCCTGGATCTTTGGCTGTGGTAAAGATGTATCTAAATAATATATTCCAGAGCTGATTACACATGGCTAGTGGCTCCCACCGCAACTGTTGAATGTCTAGAGTCTTTCCCATAGAGTGTATCCCATGAGAACTGTGGAGTGGGAGGACATCTGAGTAGTGCACACGGACAGGCCACCCATCTCATCAGGCTAGTCAGTGTGGCCAGAGTTAGTTTCTTTGGTGGGGTACTGTGTCACCTGGAAATTGTTTTGGAAATTGACATGCAGCAGTTGCTATTCATAAAGGATCATCAAACATTAAATGCAATCCTGTGCTACTATTGCTTATTTGCTCTTTATAAGATTTGGCTGAGATGATGTATATGCAGGGTCTTTGTAAACTATCAAGTGCTAATAATGCAATATGGTTTTATTATGACTGAACTAATCACTTCATCCAGTTAATAAGAACACCTCACTCCCGAATCAAGCCAGGGAGTTTATTATACTTTATATTCTGAGTCAAAAATGATGAAAATGTTTTCTCTAAGGTAAACCAAACATGTGATGATATCCACATAAGGATGTAATTATAAAAAATGTTTGAAATACCCACCAAGATTAACTACTGTGGAAAAATTGTCTTTATTAAAGGCATATGTAAGAGCCCTGTAAACATAGCATGTGCTGACTGTGGGTAAAAACAAAGAAAATGAACAGTGAGAAAATCTGTCAGGCCAGATCCGATATTACAGCAAACATTGCAGCTTAACTTCAAAACACACATCGCCACTAATGAGGTGAGAGCCCTGCATATTAATAGACCCACAGCTGCAGCCAAAGCCGTCATTACCCACATCAAATGTAAATGCAAGATTAACACCTATGCCATTTGTTTGGAAGATGTGAGAATACCCTGGTAGTACCTGTTCTCTCTTTCCCTGAGGATAAAAAACAGAAATGGAAGGGTAATGAGAATAGCACCTAGATTAAAAACATAAAATTAGTAATCAGGCTCAGGCAATCTTATACAAATGCAAAAGTTTATAGAAAGAAAACAACCTGTGCAGTTGGTGTCCTGGGACTTTTTGTATATTTAGACTTTGTTTACTTTCCCCAATAGGAGAGCCTTTTAAAAAATATATTTTAGCAGAAATTCTGGAAGCAAAAGCTGCCCAAATATATTTGTGTTTAGAGAAACTAGGTCTTGTAGTTTTAGCATACATGTTATACATTTTATTTTCTACTCCTGGCTTTGTTTTATAAATCTGGCCTCACACTGACCTTCCAATCACTACTAACTTAGATGCCAAAGCCAGTGTTCGTTTGTTCATTCAGCAACTATGTATTTTATACCTACCATTTTCCAGGCACTGTTCTAAGTACTTAGAATACCTCAATATTTTTTTTTTTTTTTAACGATTTCCACACTCACAAAACTTATATTCTAGTAGTGGTGGAGAGGGTTGGGAAACAATTCATAAGCAGTAAACACAATAAATAAGTAAATACAACGTGTATGAGAGGGTGGTTGATGATATGGAGAAAAGAAAAGGTAGATTGTGCTGAGGGGCAGCAGAGGGTAGGTTGCAGTTTTAATCAGGTAGACCTTGTAGAGAAGAGGGGTTTAGAGTGAAGTCTTGGATGAGCAGAGGAGCAAGTTAAGTGAACATATGGGGGAATGGTTATAGCAGAAGCCACAGAATGGGATTGTGCCAGGAGTGTTCATGGAATGGCAAGGGACCAGTGTATCTGCATCTGAGTGTAGGGGCTGTGAGTAGAATCAGCTATTAGGAAAATATTTAAGCTACAGAGGCCCACCCAGGAAGATAGTCAGGAAGATGGGGAGAAGGGCTGTGTTTCTGGGTATGTTTTCAATGTAGAGTCACATTTCCTGTTAGATGGTATATAGTTTTAAGAGAAAGAAAGGAATCAAGTTTGCTTAAATTTTCATCAGTTCAGTATGTTAAAAATGTTTCCTGATACTTTTTTTTTCTCCTAAAAGAGGAAACTACACTAAAACTTCTAAGGAA